GAGAGCGACGCATTCGGCAAGCGCATCCCGGGGATGCGAGTGCACAAACCGCTTTATGTAGTATTATTCGTGGCGATCGATGGTGCGTGGTTAAGTGTCGTACTGCGAGCAGCACTAGTGGCCCTCCCCCCTCCCTTCCTCCCTCTGGATCCATGAACGGAGTGCTGCGGCCAGGGCCGGGCGGCCACTGTGACGGAACGGAACGGGAGCCCAACGGCTGTCCGCCTCCATCGGCGTCGCCTCAATCATCCAAACTCCTCTGCTTTCCACAAAGCGATGATCGGCGGTTTGGTTCACTCGTATATGGCGTCACCTTTCCGACCACCACCCAAAGCCGGTCGATGAGATGCTGCTGCCACAAATCTAGAGCAACAGTGTTTCCGGGCCTGTGGACAGCGCACGCAAAAGATGCTTGCCATTTGCTTTGGGTACATACATGCCTGGCTGCATGGCATGGATATCTGAAACCTGGGTTTAGCTGTACAACGAATATAATATACTCCCTCCGTGCCATAATGTAAGATGTTTTTCTACGCTACAATAGTGTCAAAAAACGTCTTACATTATGGGACGGAAGGAGTACATGCGTGGGATGTGCGTGGACTTGTTAGATTCATGATTTTTCATATTTGAAAGTTGAAACAAATTTTGGTTGTACCGACGAATATAACATACATGTCTAGAGTCTAGTCATTTTCGACAACGATTTTGCTATTTTTCCATGGCGGCCGAGGAATAACTATTTCCGAGTGACCCGGAGAACCATTTGATCTGGATGTTAGGGTCTGCGCAAGTGCAGAAGGACGAGAAAATCTTGACCAGACCGCTACCAAGAAATACACCATCTGTTTCTAAATGTAAGACATTTTAGCAGTTCAATTTAAACTATCAAAACGTCCTGCATTTAAAAACAGAGGTACTCCATAGTCATCTATTTTGGGTCATCTATTTTGGAACAGAGGGAGTAGTAACTAGTATTTTCTAAGTCGACTGATCCATAGTCACTCTGTTTTGAAAAAAAAGACAATTGAGTCTATTTTCTTGACTTGGTTGCCATGTCGTTGTTACTTTTCATTTTATTCATTCCTTTAATTTTCTTAAGGAATTGCTGTTAGTTGTCAAATAAAGGTGTGATGGAGGCATCTTCTCCTGTTTAACTTGATTTTCTATGTGTTTTAGTTGTCAACTAAAGGTGTTGTGGGGCCACATTCCCTGTATCAATCTTTTATTCCCAAAAAATTAAAGACAAACAGTGCTGAAAGGCGTGTATGATATGCCTCTCATCCACCATGTTGCTAGTTTGTGTTAATGGATTTGAAAAATCCCTTAATTGATTTGCTATGAATTTTGCTACCTCAACAGTTACTGGAATGAAGTGTGTCTACATGTACTAGAAGTAGATACTAATAAGACCATGATACAAGTAAATCGCGTTAGTATTCAGTACTACCTAACTCAATCCCTTCAGATAAAGACAGGGAATTTCAGCTAACATCATGCCTTATGCTCCACAGCGAGAGGGATTGTGCCTAACCCTTCGCTGTCTAAATAAGCCCTAAAATGCTGTCGCGTCCCTCCTGAATATACCTAAGGTATATGGCAAATCCGATCAAGATCTAGCTTTAATTTTCCTTTCGGAAATCAGATGCAGGAGATAGTAATATACCAAACCACCATGCATGCATCCTTCCTCGTAGGCTCGACACCATGCTAGTGATCCAAAGCTGGGTTTACTAATCAAAGGACCTGGGATTCCCGAACAAACTCATAGGTGTCGAGCTTGCAAGGCCCGAAACATTGTATAACGCTAATCTAATGGCCGAGCACGAGTTGATCTACTTCACTGGCTCTCTAGTGGCCTAACTATTTCTGTTGGTTTATTCCCACAGTGGCTACATGTCCTGGTGTCCATCATCATCCATCAGGCAGATGTCCTGTCCCTGTGGTGGATCTCATGCCACTCTAACTGGGCGCAAGAGTTTAATTCTGTCCCTAAGCTAAACTAATGCGGGTGACGAGAAAAGCCAGAGGTCGACCGGGCATCTAGTTGGGCCACTGATTGATGAAAGAAAAATTAAAGCAGGGTTTGGCATGGATTAACTGGAATAATTAAAAATGATAATCACGGTAGACAAGACTACTCGGGCAAGTCAAGTCATGGAATGTGCGAGCGAAGAGGGGAGAAAATAAATTAACCCGCAATGTCAAGACTACTCTTGGGAAAGCAAAGGTTAACTGATGGAGGATTAGTTTATGGCGGGCATAGCATTGTTTTGGATATAGTTGGCCCCCGAAAGGAGAAAGGTGGTGGTGGTGTGTGTGTGCGCCTCATGGCCTGGTACCAAATCGACAAGACGAAAGCCGCGAAACTCTAGAAAAAACAATGGACAGAGAGAGAAGATGGCTTCTCCCTCTGGACTGAGGCAGCTATAGCGGAGCCGCCTTGGCTGCCAGGCTATAAAAGGAAGGCCCTCGCACCAACCCGGCCATTGCCTCCTCCGCTCACCCAGAGCTAGTTAAGCAGCAAGCAAGCCCGTCCAGAAGCGAAACCGAGCCACCACCATCTGCTTTCTGGCTCCTGAGCCCAGCTCTCTCCACTCCCCATCAATCTTTGCCGATCAAGCGACCATGCTGCACCATTACCACCATGGCGAAGTGGCCAGCCTGCACTGCCTCTCGCCCCCGAACCCGCCGTTCCACACCCACTACCACCACCCCGGCATGATCGCCGCCGGCATGACGCCCCCTCCGCCCTTCCACTTCTCACCGGCCGCCTACGAGTATGAGGACGAGCCTATGCTGCAGGAAGCGCTGGCTGCCATCGGCAATAACAGCCCGCCCGGCTCCGGCGGGGCTGGTGATGACATCCATGGCCAGGTGCTGGCTTCGGCGGCGGAGGAGGAGCGGAGGCGGCGGAGGATGGTGTCCAACCGCGAGTCGGCGAGGCGGTCGCGCATGCGCAAGCAGCGGCAGCTCAGCGAGCTGTGGGCGCGGGTGGCGCACCTCCGCGGCGCCAACCGCCGCCTCCTCGACGAGCTCAACCGCGCAATGAGGAGCTGCGGCGACGTCCGCCGCGACAACGACCGGCTCAGCGCCGAGAAGGCCGAGCTGGAGGCCAGGCTCGAGCAGCTCATGCAGCAAGCACAACAGAGCAACAACGCCTCCTCAGAGCCATGCGAGAAAAACACCACTGTCGCCGCTGCTGAATAAACCATTCTTATCTTCTCATTTTAACTACCAGGATCGTTAATTATTGCTGTAGTATACTCAAATAAGGCGTGCGTTGAGGGGTTTGATCGGCTTAATCGTTTCTTAATTTTATTAAGACTGGGGTAATAATACATACCCTTAGCTACGTACTACTACTGCCCATTACTGTCATCTTTTTTGGCAAGGTGCAAGTGGCTAGATGAATATGGATTGGGTGTTACTGACGAGTTGCCATCAGTGGACAAATTATAGTGCAACATGATCATACGGATGATGAAACAAGAAACCGCTCGAAACCAGTGTGGAATGAGAAACCATACAATACCATTGGTTTCTTCTTCCAAAGAAAAAAAAGACGCTTTCCACTGATAATGATGTGGCGACTGACGAGTGGACTAATGCCCTGTACTTGCAACAAAGCTGTATTTCCATGAAAAACAGGGGACCCGATTGTTTGGATTAATTCATGTTATCTTGAGTTTTACCCCCAAAAAATTCAGTGACTGTGTGCCTAAGAGTTGCGACAAACCAGACCCTTGCTTTAACTTCAGCGGAAAAAACTATAAGCTAAATTATGAAACTGCTGAAATCTGAAACAAGGCTAAATTCCCCTAAAAACAGAGCTAAATGATCTCACACGCAAATAAGGAACTGATAATAAGGCTTACGTGCCAAATCCAGTGAGCTCATGGAAGATTCAGATATCCCAAATCAGGGTATAAAACAGTTTTGCATCATTATGCGCCCTTTCAGTGGCAAGTGTCGAAGATACAAAATCCTAAACAAAAGTGTGCAGAGTCTTGAATCAAAAAAACAGAAGTCAAATTTGTATGTAGGTGCCAAGATTTAATATGAAAATTATGCAGTAACATGGCAGAGAATATAGAACCAAAAACCATACCAAAATTAACAGGATTCAGGTGCATTGCAAATCTGCAGTTGGCAAGCTGTCATCAAATCAAGTGTCCAAGCCTGCGTGAGCGTGTGAATACAAAACGGAAAGGCATGGACCAGTGCGAGGTGCTCACGTCACAGGGACCCTGCAAAAGTGGCCTGAATTGCTTCAAAAAGCAAGAGCTTTGGCACATAATATACTTACTTGGGTTGGGTGGACAGCCGGGGACAAGCACAATATACTGTCTTTGCGGTGGTGATGATGGAGCTTTCATCTAACAGGACAAGAACAGGAAGGAACTGCATTACCTCAAAAAGCTGTTTAAATAGAGTTAACTTTCGGGTGTTGCCTATGTATATCCAGTTCTGTCTATGGTTATGTAGATAAGAACAATTGCTAGCACAGTGCACAGGTAAATCAGGGAAAGGAAAAGGCAAGTGCTCAAATTTAGACATAAACAAGAGATGAAGGGTGTTCAACGAAGAACCGAGATGACCAATAGTAAACACTACAGTGAAACATTACCTGCATGCTTCCCATTTTGATATAAAAAAATTAAATTCAAAGTGCATAGTACAATCATTGTTCGCAACAAATGCTGCTGAAAAAAGATCCGATGAAATGAATCTAGCATCGCCTAACATGCAGGGCAGGTTATTTTTAAAAGATAACTTGCATGCCTCAGGTAGCATATACCTTAAGACTTAAGGCAACAAATTGTAAACAACACATGCTGCTGAAACTGGTTCAATGAAATGAATCAAGCATCGCCGACATACATCTGCTGGACAGGTTTTTAACTTTTTATTATATGATAACTTGCATGCTTCGGGTTGTTGCATGTCTTCAGGCGTGAGAAGAACATACAACAACCCACTAGACTGCTGTTATCCCATCAGGTCTCCTTTGATGCCTCTCTCTTGCCAGGTGTTAGATTGTTTTCTGTTGCCAAAACACCTTCATTATTCTTTGGTGAAGCTTCAGCTACCACAGATGGAGAATCCCTCTTCTCATGGCTATTCTTCTCTCGGAGAAAATTTACCGGGTCCGCGTACGAACTTGTACATGGCCACCTACAAATGAACAATGGAGATGAATGCAATATTCAACTTTGAGATATTTACACAAAAGCACACAGAAAACACACCTACTTGAACGGATGGTTTCACCTTCAACAATAGTTTCTTCTTCAAAGATTTTTCCTATTAACACAACAAAGATGAGGAACTGAACGTTGACATGGTCTAATAGCAAAAGAAGGGCCAGCTTATACTTAATAATAATCAGGAAATGTGAACATAATTATCATTCATTTAGACAAGTTTGCAGACTAGCTGCTGTACCAGTGTTCAGTACTGAGTTCTGAAAAAGGCAAATATGCAAATTGACCTAAAAGGCCACCTCAGTAATGAGATGTCCCATTCCATAAAGTCACTTCTTTTATCCTCTTTCCCCCTGAGAATTCATTTAAGTAGGAGTCTGCTAGTGGACACTAGTAAAGTATATGGAAATTCAAAAAGGAAATGGCAGCTTATCAGAAAATGTGACCATAAAGTATGTAGCTATTCTTAACAATTTTCATTAGTATGTTCCCATAACCATAGAACCGTAGTGCTTCAACATGTTGATCAAGTCACTTGTTAAATAAAAGGGTCAATTCACAAAGTGTAATCAATAACCATATACCATGACCATGACTACTCAATGCTGAATTGCTGACTAAGTAACATGGCCCCATACTAAGAAACAAATGGATCATTGTCAATATGGAGTGACAAACTAGGCATGAAGATCAAATATAGCATGTACTTGCGCATAAATAATTACAATCAAAGTTCATACCATATATGCAAAATATCATGTGGGAGATATCACTCATTGGCAAAAACATAGCCGCGGACCCATGGCTCTTGACTTCTTGTTGAAACTCAGGGTTACTGGTAGTAAGTTAGCTAATTTAACAATTAAAATGTGACCTTTGGTAGAGATATTTCAAAATAATGGATCAGATTTTCAGTTATTGATATCTGGCTGACATGTGAATGAAAACACGCAAGTTATTTCCTTATTACCAGGCAGCTAAACAACAAGACAGGCCGTATTTTTTCATTTTTAATATGAACCAAGTAACTCACTCGAAATCAGATGAGCTTAAATCAACCCTGCCTCTACAATCTACATACTTGGAAGTCGTACATTAGAAAATAAACAAGTAGAAACATGAAACATCATTATATTTCGAGATCAACCATCAAGATGCGACGCCTGATGCAGAGGTTGTGTGCTTATTGGTATGGAGCTCTGGCCCCAAGGCTTGCGGTATTTAAAATTCTGGTAGATGTTGATTAGAAACCATGTTTTCATTGATGCGATGAAACCTGAATGTTTTTCAATTCAACATGTACTACCCAATGTCCGTTGTCCACTTTATACAATGATATAACTGGATTTAAAAGGCGTAAAATTTGCAACAGAATTCTGCCCTTAACTTAATTGTGGAGCAGATAGCAACTAATATGTAGGATGCTTTTTGTCCTACCCACACTGAAGAAAACTTAAACAATACAACTACGAGGTTTAATTCCTTCTACTTATTTCATCCAAATTTTTTTTAAAGCAACTTGATACATTGTGAACAAATGGCAACTGCTACAAGACCAGGCGAAAAGAATGGCCTATCTGACATCAAAACAAGTTCAAAAAAATACAGAATACTAGGTGATTAAATCTAAAAAGGTGAATCTATTTAATGCATGAAGATGAACACTTCAGAAGTACCTCCGTCAAAAGCCTTATTAGAGAAGTATTTGGCCTTAATGCGGGCTGCAAGTTCAGCTTGGTATCCGTTTACCTTCTGTTCATGCTCCTCGATTTTCGACTTACTGCACATGAGAATGCAAAGAACTTACTATCATGTTTCATGATATCTTACAGCAACAACGAGAAGAAGATAAATTCTGTAACAAATGAGTAACTGTGCTCTGTCAAGGATGGGCAAACATGTAGATGTTCAAAATTCATGATCAATTTGGCCCTGAGGTGGTGTGGAAGTATCGATTTGTCTTTTTCGAAGCCCATGTGTATTTAGTTTGTCTAAGACTTTTAATGGTGCGAGATTCCCAATATGAAAGGTTCAAATATTTATGGCAAAGAAAATAGTAGATGGAATAGAGGTGGCATGTTCAGATTAATTAGGATATAAAGAAAGCACATGACTGTCTGAAACATAAGAACCAAAGCCTCCTTCATTCTGTCATTGTTTTGCCTTATTATTCTAGGTCTAGTAAAGTTATATGCCACTTCTTCTCGCAAAAAGAAGTAGTATGGCAGTTCCACTCGCAAAAAAGAAGCAATATGCCATTTCAAATGATAGTAAAGCATAACATCCTGAGTGACTCGAAACTAAGTCCAGCACAGACCTACGGAATGGTATCTGTGAGCAAAAATGCAGGCTGTCCTTTTTCAGAAGATAGACTCAACTTCACAACTTGGTTGCAAAGTACTATATCTATGGAACAATTTAATCTGCCTTTGGTCTTGTGTTCAAATTTAATCTGCGCTTACAATTTATTGTCAGGAAAACAATTCACCGCGTTACTCTTTTTTTCTCTCCCAGAAAATGCAAAGCTTGCGTCTCGATGCATTGATAGAATGAATATTAATTACAAGCCTAAGAGTAGGCCGAAACAACCGGCCACTCAAGACAAAACCGCGTCGAACGACTGACAGACACTCGTTACAAGTGACATCAAATGCATTCTATCCTCATTCACCATGTCACTCCTACCTAGTCAAAATTTAAAAAATTAACTTCTCCAGCATGGGTTTATATACATCTGAATTCTGAAGGATCAAAATTGAACAAAACATAAAGCGCATAGGCATGAAGTCTAAAATGGCATCCTTCTTGTTCTCTAGAGAACTCCATATGCTGAAGTGGAGAAAGCAAATTTGGAGGAAAACCATAAAACTGAATGGTGTGCTCCTCCCGTTGTGCACATTGCCGCTTTCAGACATTAAAAGGCAAAATTGGCTCACCCCACTGCATCCATTGCAGTTGCAGGTTCGGACTTGACGTTGAGCATGGTTCCTCAATGCCCAGCCGAACGCCGCCGGAAACTCTTGGAAGGTTGGCCGCCACGCGAGCCCGCAAGAAACTGAACGCGTTGGAGAAAAAATGAATACCCGGATTACCGCGAACAGAACGCGAGCCGGTTAGGGTTCGTCGCCAGCAAACCTACCGAATCGACTCCACGCCAGTCCAGTGCAACGGGGGAGAAGAAGCCGACGGCGGGGCTGATGGGGAGAAATTTCTCTGGGGTGGCGAGCTTCGGCGGAGGGGGGTGAGGGCCGAGGGGAGCGCTGTCGCGGAGGGCAGGGGAGGCGCCGAGGCGGACTGGGGGGTGGGGACGGCCGAAGGGAAGCGAAGGAAAGTCCAAGAGTCAACTGGGAACTCGCTTGACTATAGCTGGCCAAATGGGCCGTGCCAACCAGGCCGGCCCGCGAGCACGCCCGCCACGGCCCGTCATGGGCCAGGCACAGGCTAAACGGGCTGGGCCCGGCACGCGGCACGCCCTGGGCTGAGCATGCGGGCCGGCACGACACGACCTGATTATCTTTTTTTATATATATCTCTATATGGTCTATCATATAAAAATAGGCTAAAAACGCCCAGTGCGCCAAATAGCAGGCAGACTAATGAGCCTGGCGTGCCGGTGGGCCGGCCCGATTAGCAGTTGGGCCGTGTCTGGGCTGCAGGTTGCAGCACACGGGCCGGCACGGCCCGTATAATCATCGTGCCTCGGCGGGCCGGGTAGTGCCAGGCACGATTAAGATAGGCCGGGCCGGCCCGGCCCGTTTGGCCAGCTATACACTTGACCCTCTATGAATTTAGTGGGCCCTTCTGGCCAGACTGGCAGCACCATCAACGAGGTCACATTTCTTTCTGTTTCCAATGACGTACTCGTAAATGGTAAATCAAAAAAGGAGCGATGTACATGGTAAAGAGTAAAGTGACAGCGAGGTGTATGCGTGTATTCTTTACTCTATTTTGTTTAAACTGGCAATTTGTTATTGAATACATTAATGTCTTTTTTACAACTTTCATCCCTACTGTACTATAGATGCGTGTTAAAGTTTGAAAATCATAAAATAAATCTTTAGATTTGTTTTTTTAACTACAAACATTGAGAAAAAAAATCTCAACATTCGGAATTTGAAGCATATTACGCGCATGCAGTAGAAATCACGAAGATCGGAATTTGGATCCATGGAAAAAACGCTACCTCAAGGATGGAATGCAATCGGCCGTCACCGCTACTACTTGCGCAACATCGTCCTTGCTCCTTCGTGGCAGGTTGCTTGTGGAGTAGTGGGAGATCAAGGCTCCATGGGCATCCAGCGCCAGCACCACATGTCTATGAAGGGGAATGGCGGCCGCCGCTGCTCTTTCCGCCCCGCCGTTGCTCTTCCCATGACGAGGTGGGCGTGACATGGAGAAACTTGAATGGGACATCGGGGCCTCGGCGAGTAGTAACCCCTGGACGAAGAAGAAGAACTGGGATAGAGGCTGGATGGGGTCGCGACGGAGGGTTTGCTCGAGCAGTCCCGGGTTCGCTCTCACCCTTGTCCGGTAAAAAGCGGTCTATTTACGGTGGAGGATGGGGGAATCTGGGCTTGAGTTGAGTCGTGCTAGAGTTTGTACGGTACGCATTTACGGTCCAAATAACAACGATGTTTACGGACTAAGATTAAAAATCCCATTGCTATACTAATCGGACATGCGAACCAACCGTGTTTAATTCCTCTATCCGGTCTACGGTGTGGTTAGCCTGTTTGCTTCAGAATATGATACTCCATAAGGTGAGTTCATAGACTTAACAGTTTTAACATGGTCCCTCTGACCTCCTTTTTTCATATGAGAGGTAAGAGTATGAAATAGATCTGAACCGTTGATCACATTAGTTGGTAGCCTGATTAACTTTTACCTTCTTACCTCATATGTAAAAAGAAGGGGTAAGAGGGACCATGTTAAAATTTGCCATGATTATATAATACTCCCTTCGTCCGAAAATACTTGTCATCCAAATGGATAAAAGAAGATGTATCTAGACGTATTTTAGTTTTAGATACATTTTTTTATCCATTTTGATGACAAGTATTTTCGGACAGAGGGAGTATATGGATCATGATGTAACCTGAAGGAATTACAATGTATTGGGATGACATGACATGTCTTGCGTCCATGGCGTTGCATCCTGCCCCTTGCAAGCAGGTATGGTATACATTGGACTGGGAGAAGACTCTGCACAAACAACACTTCACGGTGAGCCTTCTAGGGTTTTCTTATATGAAAAATTTCGTGTGCGTCATTGCAGTGAGGTTCTTCTACCAAATGCCTGTTTGGAAGGTGGGAAGATCTTATTAATTGAATATTTTGCATAGTTATTAATTACTTTTGGGTCTTTCCACCGATGGTTGATTGGTTAGCAATTATTTTATCAAAAAAGGAGGATAGGAATAGACTAAACTCTTATAAAGAAAAACATAATGCTCGATCCGGTTTCTTCGTATTACCATATACAGATGGTATAGCAATCGAGGCTAGCGAAAAGCATGTTGGAAGGTCATGTCACTTTAGATTTTCCATCACCATGGGGCATATTTGTTTCGTTCAGTAAGAGCATCGAAAGTGTGTAGAGGCAACACTGTCTATAACATGGGTCCCATGTGCTTGCCTCTAAGCTAAGTAAAAAATTCCACAATGTATAGTCTGGTACAGCCTCTTAGCTTGTACCCCACCTGAACATAAAATAATTTACTTTTCATCAGCTACCCTCGTTGGACGGACATCGCAGGATGACAAGTAGGGCCAGGAAAATATTACTTTAAGAAAAAGCTTGGAGGCAAGCTCTTAGCTAAGAGGCGTCGCTAGCCATTTTGGTTAATAGGCTCTGGCGTGCGGTGTATAGCGTTGGCCTCTAATGGCTTAGAGGCAGCCTTATTGGTAGCAAAATGCTACACCGTGGATGCCCTAATGGAGATTGACCATGTACTAGAATGTGTCAAGTTTTGCAAGTTGTGTTCTCTTATTGATAACTTCTATGATTTCTGAGTTTTTTCTTGATTCTTCATCCATTTGCTTTGATTTATGAGCCATTATGTTGTTGCACACATTCAAATTGGTCAGGTCAGTGCCGGTTGCACTGGATAAACCTCCTGGCCAGGTTAGTGGCGTCAGCAAGGTGGACGACTACAATGATGTGGAGGTGCGATCTATCAGGTGTCCCACTCTATTTATGGTCAATTTTTTTGGTTCATGAATTCAAAACAAGCGTGAAGAGGTGAAGATACTGGCGTGAAGGAACCATGAGGTGAGAACAGACTGAGATGGAGATTAAGAAAATTGAGGTATATATTCCACATAATCTATTGTTGAACAATTGGCAATTGTAATTATATATTAATGCAGCAGCTGCAAGCTTTATTTTTATTTAATATCTTTCATTGTGGCAACCTCTAAGATTTCCGGCCATCTCTTTATAGGTCATATAGGGAATTAATTTCTGATTTATTATTGTTGCCCCTTTTACTTTTCTACTCATACGCTGTTGCTAATTTGGAGTAAAGTACATTAAAAGTACTAACTTGGAGGTCTTTTTTACGTAGTTCAGTTTCTTCATGCTTGCATTTGTCCATGTTTCTCTTCTATTTCCATCACTGAGAAGTTACGATATTTTGGATGATATTCTGACGTTGGTTGGGCTAGAGTTCATTGGAAAATATATATTGGAACTACCAGCTATGATGCTAGATGATGATAATGGTTTACTCCATTTGATGCGAGATGAGTAAATCAGGGTGCTTGATCTACAAGGTTAAGATTCTAGGTGATGAATATGATTTTTTTGAAGATAAAAGTACACCAGCTATTCACTCTTGACAATTAGAACACCGAGGATTAGTACACCAGCTATCCACATTAGCAAATATTTATTCAGTTTGATTTCAATTTGTTAGTGATATTATTGTTCGTACTTTTTGTTTGTTTTGTGATGATTAGCGCCGATTTATGAGTTTTGTATTGAATTTTGCCATATTTTCCCAAGTCACCACAAGTTTGGTCTGGCCTGTTGACTTTGCTTGTTTTCTGTTCAATCATCTCTTTAACTCATGCAGATTACACATCGATTGCCAAGTCGACTGATGCATATTCTTGTCCGAGCTAGACCAAATTGAATGTAGACGTTGAGTTTGATGATACTACAACGGCTTGATTATTGTCTCTTCATAGTCATTCGGGCATGTTTTTGAAAAGGAAAAAGAATCATGCAAGCGGCTCCGAACTTGACCGTGCTTCTCCATAGCCAACATACTTCATGCCGTGCACAATGTTGTCTTGGAATCTCGCAATGAAGTGATTATGGAACTAATTTCCTTGCTTGCGGACAAGCTTATCTATCAAACTACTCTTCTCAGGACTTAATATGACACATTATAAGCCAATGTGGTCAGATTTTTTTTGTTAAATCAAGGAATGTGATAGCTAATGATTTCACAACCCTTGGTACTAAAGCTTTGTGTTCTGGTGTGTTGCATGAGCACATTTTGACCTGTGCATGACGCCATCTTGATATTTCTTGTAATGTATTATTCTCTTGGCATTAAACATTGCTTTCCATTAAAATCTCAAGTTACTCCCATGATTCTCTCCGCTGGAGAAAATAATTAACTAGTGATCCCGTCTACTAGCGTCTTTTCTATACTACTATTAAACAAGCAACTTTATCTCTCTTAAGGCCACCCCGCAAGTCTACCCAACCTGATAACTATCGTCAACTATCCCACCAAATCACATCTAACAGTCGAGATTAATGTAATATGAAATTGTGATTGTTCCTAGCAATTAACAATGGCAGACGAGCCAGCGGTTTGACCGCCGCCCGCCTCTCTCCCACTACTCCATATTAATGGTGCGCCCGAGCGGCTGCACCCTCCATCCTCGCCACACACACAATCCCCTCTCTCCGCTTGCATCCTCGACGCCGCTCTCAGTCATCAAAGCCGTCAGTGTATGAGGATGCCGCCGAAGCACCCCATTGATACGTCTCCAACGTATCTATAATTTTTGATTGTTCCATGCTATTATATTATCCCTTTTGGATGTTTATGGGCTTTATTTTACACATTTATATCATTTTTGGGACTAACCTACTAACCGGAGGCCCAACCCGTATTGTTTTTTTGCCTATTTCAGTATTTCAAAGAAAAGGAATATTAAACAGAGTCCAAACGGAATGAAATCTTCGGGAGCGTGATTTTCGGAACGAACGTGATCCAGAGGACTTGGATTGCAAGTCAAGAAGCAGCTGAGGCTCCCACGAGATAGGAGGGCGCCCCCCTGTAGGGCGCGCCCCCTGTCTTGTGGGCCCCTCGGGCATCCACCGACGTACTTATTCCTCCTATATATACCTATGTACCCCGAAAACATCCAGGAAGCAGACGAAACACAATTTCCACCACCGTAACCTTCTGTATCCGCGAGATCCCATCTTGGATCCTTCGCCGGCATTCTGCCGGAGGGGGAATCGACCATGGAGGGCCTCTACATCAACATCCTTGCCCCTCTGATGAGTTGTGGGTAGTTTACCACAGACCTACGGGTCCATAGTTATTAGCTAGATGGCTTCTTCTCTCTTTTTGGATCTCAATACAATGTTCTCCCCCTCTCTTGTGGAGATCTATTCGATGTAAACTCCTTTTGCGATGTGTTTGTCGAGATCCGATGAATTGTGGGTTTATGATCAAGTTTATCTATGAATAATATTTGAATCTTCTCTGAATTCTTTTATGTATGATTGAGTTATCTTTGCAAGTCTCTTCGAACTATCAGTTTGGTTTGGCCTACTAGATTGATCTTTCTTCCCATGGGAGAAGTGCTTAGCTTTGGGTTCAATCTTGCGGTGTCCTTACCCAGTGACAGAAAGGGTTGCAAGGCACGTATTGTATTGTTGCCATCGAGGATAACAAGATGGGGTTTATATCATATCGCTTGAGTTTATCCCTCTACATCATGCCATCTTGCTTAATGCGTTACTCTGTTCTTATGAACTTAATACTCTAGATGCAGACAGGAGTCGGTCGATGTGTGGAGTAATAGTAGTAGATGCAGGCAGGAGTCGGTCTACTTGTTATGGACGTGATGCCTATATACATGATCATGCCTAGATAATCTCATAATTATTTGCTTTTCTATCAACTACTCCACAGTAATTTGTTCACCCACCGTAATACTTATGCTATCTTGAGAGAAGCCACTAGTGAAACCTGTGGCCCCCGGGTCTATCTCTTATCATATTTTCTTCCAATCTATTTTTATTTGCATCTTTATTTTTTGCATCTGTATTATAAAATACCAAATATATATTTATCTTATCTTACTATCTTTATTAGATCTCACTTCCGCAAGTGGCCGTGAAGGGATTGACAACCCCT